GTGAAAAAAGTCCACACATCGATGTACGCTTTGTACGAGTGAATGTTGTCTCTTTTCATATTGAATATAATATTGAATATACTTTATAAAGACAGTGAAATGAATTAAAAAAGATCAGCAAAGGTGAATGACAAATAAATATTTGCAGTGCTGATCCTTTAAATAAGTTCTTAATTATACTCAAATACTTATTACCTTTTCTAAATGCATTAGATGATCCTTTGGCATTTCTGTATTATTTTCACCGATTTCAATAAATCATTTTTACCTCGCAGATCCCAATTTTATTGATGGTATTGTCTTTGAGAAGCCTTACATGAGGTCTTTGGATCATGAGTTCGAGCTTTACCCGAATCACGACAAATGGTTTTGTTTCATTCAATATAAATCTGTTAAGCATGAAGATAAAGAATCGAAAATGATTCATGTTAGTTGCAAGAACTTTTTTCACAATCGAGAATTGCAAGTCTTGCATAATAATGAAACTAATTTATAGACTACATGTAGTGACACGTATTATTTGATTTATAAATCAAATAACAGCCACATATTTCTATTACTTTAAATCAAATTTTGTTATGAAGTTTGTTGTATTTCCTTGTTTCCCGTAATCATGATTTATATATGTAACAAATTCCAAGAATAATTTTTATGTTTTCATTAAAGCCTTTTACCATGCAGTAGACATTAGATCAGATAAATGTCAACATAACATCAATTATAAAAATATAATTATATTTTTATCTTTATAATATCTCATAAATGCAAATTCACGATCACTAATTGAGTTTTCTGTGAAGTGAAATATTAATCATACACAATCTTCTTTAATTTAGAAACATCCAATCGGATTATTAACACTTCTTTCTTTTTAATGTATGTTTACATAAAATGCTTCCGTTTATTAGTTATACATAAAAACATTTCTTCTAGAACTACATTGTGCTGTAAATGAGAAAAAAGTGGTTCTCAGCTTAAGAACACATATTAGGCAAAACAGAAGTGCATGGTGCGTAAACATACATATGATTATTATTGAACATATTCTGCTGAAATCCAGATAGTCAATTACAATTAAAAATTAAATGAGTTATTTGCACCTTATTTCAAATAAGCCTTCTTTTAGACCTCCCTCCAAATAATATAAAAAAGAAACCTGTCTTAAAATTATGTTAAAGATACAAACAAAGATCCATACTTTTCTTTGAACACAAATGAAATACTTGTCTGCTATTTCTACGTTATAACAACTTCATTTTTTTCCCAAAGCTATTTCATTTATTTAACTAAAACACATAATCTGGCACTGTGAAAACAAAAGAAACATAAAGAAGAAAAAAGGAAGATATTGTCTCGTAAAACGTTTTTTTTTTGTCTGAAATAGTATTGCCGCCATATGTATGTAGGCAGAGAAGATATATCTTTATTACATATTAGATGTAAGAGGTGTGTAAAATAAATTACAGCATTATTAGACAGCATCTGGCTGGTTGATAAAATTTTTATGCTGATATTGAAAGTTAAACATAATAAATTCTGTTTGTGAATTGTCTGTATTTTGTGTATCAAAAAGGCACATTATACCTCGGGAATCGGGAATAATTTCAATTTATTTTCTTTTATCGAAAGCTTTTCAATTTGTGTGTCCTGTTGTAGTTTCCAGAATTGGTTAAATTACAAGAACGTCTGCGTCGGATGCCTTTTGACAATTAGTAAAAACACCGTGATTTTGTTTTAAGTCTGGGAGTCAAAATACTACAGTAACTGTATTTACATTTTTCCTTGCTTTATGAAAAACATTTTCAGATCTAGAGTTTTTTTCCGCATCTAAAATTCTCTCAAATCATTTTCAACGTATTAAATCACATGACTGCTCTTTCTAAAAAATAAAAGATATCCGTTTCCTATTCTCTGAGGCATAAATGTGTTTAAAATTAGAAACAACATTTTACCCACTTGTCACTTGTGTTTATAATTAGGTCAACTAAATAGTCCTATATTGTTTCATTATTCATTCGTTATTTGATCCAAAAATGTCATATTGTTTTCAATGTAATGAAAAATGAGATGTTTCAATATTAATATTGCCTTTCTATCGAGGTTAGTTAAGCAAATATAGAGCTTTTACAGTTAATAAAGGACTTTTGCTATTATTTCAGTCACATAATTGCCTCAAATAGTACTATTATTTTTAATAAGTATATTTTATAGAGTAGGCGAGTTTAGAAACAGGATATGTTGTTTACATACGATGACAGATTCATTTATTATCGGAACAAGGTATGTACTATTTTCAAAGAATTATGTAAAATCTTTGTATACCAAATTCTTCTGGATTTATTTTAAATGTCATACCAGGAAATTTATTTAAATAGTAAATATCTTTTACATCTATATCTTCATGCAAGGTATGAACACTCTTGTGAACTCTAACTTTAATGCTTGTTTTGATACCTACAACTACTACCGCAAACGATGACAATAGGATGGCGATATTAAATTACATGAAAGTGAAAATAATGATGAAGACGAAATTATATGTCACTGTATTGTTTGCGATTGCTTTTTTAAAATTGATAAATAATCTACATTCATGTATATAGCGCTTGATGATTTAAAAGATTTTTGAATATAATATAAACAACTTCCACTAGTCATATTTTCTATGCATAACTTAAACTATAAAATATTCTAAATTGACTAAAATAAATGTAATTATCATGGTTGAAATGTTTGCAGAAAAGAAAAACATATTTAAGTTAGGCTTAAATTAAGTAAAATCAGAAATTTAAAGTATCTCTCCTTTAAGACTAATATAAAAATAGTAATCGTATTTAAACTTAAAAATAGACGATTTGGTGTACCACAGCTAAACGATTTATATATATTTTAACATGTCACTGATAAAGCTGAAACACTTATAATAAAACGTCAAAAGCACACCTGTCAGAGTTAGATAAACTAGATTCGAAGTCTATTGTGATAAAAGTAAAATTGTAAAACCACAAATATTCCTTGACATTAGAAATGAAAGCTATGTCATGTCATGTCACCTTCTTTTTTCTGTCTTATCTCTTATCAACTTTGCGGTTTAATTCGACTTTATCAGTTTATATATGTTGTCAATGTCACAACAAAGAAAAAAAGTATTCATTAATTTCGTTTAAAACAAATATACACCAGTTAAACTAACATAAACCAAATCAATTTTTACCAAAATAAAAGATAAGCTCTTATAAAGATTCCTTCATAGTTAAACTAATTTCAAGCAGATTTAATGCAAAATAAAACTTTATGATTATACATAATTATCTTAAGAAAATTGTGTCTTACTATAAAATTACCATTTGGAATATTTGTCATGCATCGTAACCAACGACAAAATATGAAAAACAGGATCTACAAGGTAGGGCGGTATTCAACGAACCCATCTCCTAACACAGGACCATCGGCAAAGAGCCAAACAGGACGCGAAACAGGCCAGGGAACACGGGCAAAAACAAAAAACACAACCGGGACGTCATTATAAATTATACAAAAAGGAAATCATAGAAACTTAAAGGCAATAAAATAGAGAAAACAGAATACCCAAAGATGATGTTTCAAACATGTAACCTTGGAATTGCCTCTTGGTTATTGTACATGTAAAGCATAAATTTTGTCGAATCAAAATATTATTATTGAGAAAGTTGCACTTAATACATTAATGTATAAACTGATTGTAGGAAGTATTTGACAGGTTTATTTTTTTAAATAATATTTTAATAAGATCAAAGAAATTAATAAAATGCTAATATGTGCATTTTTATTTTTTTTTTTTTTTTTTTTTTTTAATTTTTTAAAGCTTGATTGGTTTTTGCTCCTGGTTTGTGTTCCTTTCTTGTGTGGTGTAACCTATGTAAAATGTATTGCAAAAAAAAAAAACCCGAATTTGCAATTTTTTATAAAATATTCCTATATTAAAGGCCCGTATTTCAAAAAAGTTTTTGACTTTTAAAGTCATTTTTTAAATGATTTTTAAAGAAACTCTATCATTAAAGAAAAAAAACACTTTGCCAATGGTGTTGTTTTTTTACATACTGTATTTTTCAAGGGGAATGCAACTGAAAAACATTATTTAGTTTTTTTAATAAAAGTTGGAATGAAAAAATTTTTTTTGATACATACCATGTATATTTCAAAAATACTGAGAGTAGTAAATAGGCTCCCGTCAGAACTTTAGATTCTTTTAGTGAGGAAAACTACCACTAGTTACGGAAATCGTGGTTCTATAATGGCCCCTTGTGCCTGAAAAAATGCACAGAAGGGACCTAAGGTCTTTCCCCCCCATAAAGCTGGAAAAATTTAAAAAAACCAAAACTGTGTCGGTGTGAAGTAAAACCCAATCAAACAAACAAAATAGTTATTATGGCCTCTTCCACTTCATAATTATACACCATAAGCATATACAATTCATTGCACGTCGTCACTTCTATTGTATTGTATCTGATGATTAAATATCAATTCTACCATAATAGAAATAATGCCTCCAAGATATTTGCGCTACCGAAACTGACTTGGAGGTATATTGTAATTAGAAATATGATCATTATTGATATGTCACTCAGTACATCGTATCGAACCGATGAACAATAAGAAAAGCAAAATGAAAAAGTTGCAAACTCCTGGGATAATGATATGGACGGTATTTATAAGTTCAAGCTACCGTTTACACCCCCTAGCACCGACTTAAGCAGAATTTTAACAAGAAAATGAATGATAATGTCTGGCAGTAACATTTTTGGATGTATATGTTTATTTATGTTAATTTTATAATCCGTCGTTTATTTTATAAAAGTGTTTCTTGTTTATAAAATCACACTTTTTTAAACAGATCTTTAAATAAATAAATAAATAAAGAAAGAAAGAAAGAAAGAAAGAAAGAAAGAAAGAAAGAAAGAAAGAAAGAAAGAAAGAGAGAAAGAAAAACTACAACAACAACAAGCAGCAACGACATCAACTTTTTTATCTCGGTAGTAGAAGCTCCATTTAGTGTGCTTTTATACTAGACGTAAGTCCTGTAAATACTTCGTTTTGTCATTACAATTATTTGTCATAGATATGTATATTATACATGTAATATAATATAAAATAGTATAATAATGTAATATAAAAGGCCGATTATTCAGTACGATCAAAATGTATTCGTATATTTGTTAGTCGATTTCCTGCATGTTTGTAAACACATTTATTCTTCAGAAACGAATACATATATATTTTTTACTTCTTTAAAGAAAACAGCAAACATAATTTCCATAAGGCAAATATGATGGTTAAAGCAGTACGCCTCCAGATGCATGCTATTTTTTTTTTAAAAATTGAAAATATATTTAACAGTATAATATTGTGAAGTTACAAAAAGAATGCAATTTGCACATTATCGATGGCACTAACATGTACATTTTAATTACCATATAAAGGTCAAATATGCAAAAACAGCCCTTACTGCGTTAGTAACGCAGTAGAAATAATTATTTATACTAAAAAATCGGTCATTAATTGCTAATAACATCTCAATTATTACTTGAATTTTCAATCTTTATACTTTTCCTAAAATCTTATATCATTTTTCTCAGGTTTGATTTTATCGAAATATTTTGGTTCATCTGGAGTGTAATCTTTTGGCTACCATACAGAATACTTAATCACAAAAACTTTACTATTTGCCAAGAGTCAAATGAATAAAAAACATGGCTTAAGTAATTAGCCAATGTGTAACTTTTGGAAATTGTTAAAGTACATGAAAAAACCCCAACAAAAATGCAACAAAAAAAAAAACAAAAACAAAAAAACAAAACATTGTGAAAACTAATATAAGCATTCCTTGGGAGTAATGGATCTTTTAAACAACAGACCTTGATATCGTTCGCAATCTTTAAGATAAACAAATTACTTCTTGGTTCTTGTTTCTTATTGTATTCCGAAATAAACCATGTTTTATGGCTAATCTTAGAGGAGTGTTTTATTACAAACCGTTATAGGTGATACATTGTACATGTATCAATATACACCAGGCGCCTTTCAGAACGATAAACGTTCCTTCGATTGGAAATCAATTTTTTCACTCAACCTTCAAACGGTGTAAAAGCAAATAGGACAATAAAAATGTTGCAGTTGATATGAGAATATATCATTGAAACAAATACATCGTATTATTTATCTATGCAATAGCATTGTTCAATAATGATTACAAATAACAAAAGTAACAACAGCATTAAATTAACAATTTATAGAAAGGAAATCAACAACAAGTAATGAACAACTTTAATAATTGATTGATCAACCTTTTTTTAAAAAAGAAATAAAGACAAAATGTCATAATCAAAGATGTAAAGCTTTATCATATGAAATGTTCTAAATAAGAAAATTAAAAAAACCCTAAAGATAAATTGTTTTCTAACATTTAGGTTGTTTCTAAAGAAATGAGTAACATAGGCTGTCTAAGTTATTTAATATGGATAACTCACGTGAATAGAATAATTTGTCGCAAAAATATGCGCTGCTATTTTTAAAGGCTTTGGTGTTATTTTTGCATAATGCCCCACTCGATTTCAATTAAATATGCTGACACTTTTTTCTCATTTTAAGTATGCTGTTTACATTTTATCTCGATTTATCATTCCGAGACGGCAAATATATAGCTTTTCACACTTAAATATTGAAACAAATCTTTATGGAAAAAGCAATATTAACTTTTCAAAACATAACAGTTAAAGATCCTGTAACAAATTTTTTCTTGTTTACAATCATAAATATGATGCTCAAATTAGGATTTATCAATATTGTAGGTTCCAAAAAGCATTAAATATAAAGATATAACCGAAATTAACATTCCATGTAAATAAAGGGAGGTAATAAAAATTATTTTCTATAAAGTTTAAGTCAAATTTTACAATAAGAAATGAATGCATATATATTTTAAAGGGAGACACAGGCAAAATTTTCATTTCTTAGTTTTGAATATTTCATTCATTATTCTGTAAATGCTCTCAAAATGAATATATTAGACAGCCAAAGGAACAAAACTTTTCTTCATATAAAGAATAAAATTGTGGTTTTCTAACTTGACCCGCGTGGGTCAGGTTAGAGCGCTAGGATTTCACAAAAGTTACCACAGTGAACTCTGGAAACGTTAAAAAACATGTCAAATGAATGACTTAGACTTGTTTCAATCCTACAATATCCACACTGTCTGTTATTGTAACTTCAATGGTTTGTTCAAGTCACCTGACTTATTTTCAAACTATTCGGTGATTCTATTGGCGTCCACATTTTGTTCAACATATATAGATATATTTTCGCTTTAAAACCAAAATATATAGAATTTAATCAGAAATTCATTCTGAAGCTTTAATAAATGTCATTCTAGCGTGATTTGAGTGCATTAGATCATTTTAATATTTTTCTCATTATTTTGCCTGAATATCCCTTCAATGATTATATATAATATGCACAAATAGTTGTAGAACATATTTCACATATTATTCGATGTTTGAACATAATTATGTACATAATTATATATAATTTCACTAAGTGTGCTTAACCACTTTGATCACCACATCCAGGATCTTTAAAAAACACGCTTTGTTTCTTTTTAAGTTTTACGTGGAATTTAAAAATGAATTACAATTACAAAAATAAACAGTTTTTTTTAATCTTTAGAGACTACTGTGGCAAATACATACGTAAGTATGGTCTAAATTTTGATATTTATTTTTTCTTATGTCATTAACTTGTAAAACGCCAGGCTTTAAGAAAATTGATTGATTTTTATATCAGTATTGAACATCAAAATAATAATTGTTTCGTCGACATCTGGCCAACAAACTGAAATTTTATCTGTTTTTCTTTTTGAAATGTAACAAACAACAACCAGAAAAGGTTGAAGACCAAGAAACATAAACAAAAAAATGAATGTTTTTCTTTGTTTTTTTTTGCTTTGGTTTTATTTATTTCCTTTTTTATAAATCTTTAAACTAACAGGTTCCAGCCGGTGCCACTGAATTTGTCGCCTCTCCTAAATCAGGCAATCATGTAACTATAGGATTAATGTCACTGCTTGACCCCTAATTCTCAATGTGGTTATTCTTCAAATGTCTAAGGACATACCATGCTGACGCTGCAATAAGCCCGAGGGCAGCAAAAGCACCGACAGCTGCTCCAACAATGGTACCAATACTTGGCCCGGAGTCCGCCTCTGATTTACTGGCTTGACTTACGGTATTGTTAAAAAGTCCCGTTGAATTCGCAATGCATGCTGTGTATTCTGCAATGAAATACACGCAGCGGTTAACTCATGAATCGTGGTGTGCTTTAGAGTCAATTTACAAGCAAAGCATTCACGATTTTCTAGTAACTACATTTACCAATATAACGAATTCTAATTGAAATATTATTGTCTTTTATTTTAGAATTTCATCAAGTAGTCATATTTGCTAAAGTTAACATAATATAGCAGGGAAACCAGTCTAACTTCTGTTCAAATTACAGTAGATACAAGAGTAACAAATCAATCGCCGATATAATCGATATAATCGTTAGATAGATAAACTTACTTGTATCAGTATCAGTCACGATTTCCAAATTTGAGCAGATATAGAACGGCGGTATTGTAGGGTTTATCATGTCAGTAGTTAAATTGTGCAGCTCCTTTTCTAAACTCGAAACTGTGCTAACTTTGGCACTGATTGACCTGTTGAAATAAATGAAGAAAGCTTTGTCAATAAAAGGATCGAATGTATTTGGCAATTGTGAACATTTGCGACATGATACTTTCAGATATGAGTTTTCTATATTTATTTTCGATTATATTTAGTATTAAAAACGGGATATATGTTAATTACTGGTGTTACATGTCACTCCTCTTGATAGAACTAAACAAACAACGTATTATCTATATTGTCTGTCACTTTTGAATAGATCTTGCTTCTATTACTTATAATCAACAAAAAAAACCCAAGTTTAAATGGCACCTTATTGTTAATCAAGCCAACAACAAAATAATTTATCTGTTTCAAATCAATTAAATAAAAGAAATATTGAAGTCAATTATGGTACGACATACATATTGTAAGTGTAAAATGTTACCAACTTGAGTTTGATATAATTTATTTGGCGTAAAGTGTAAAATGTATACCTACCCAGTTTCACTGTCATACATAAGCATTTCAACAGACTTAATACCTCCAGTTGTACAGCGAGTCTGGTTTGAAATTTTACAACCACAGTATCTTCCCGACATGGATAAACCAAGTTCTGTGTGTTTTTGCAAAATCTCGAACACGATTTCTTGCTGTAACTGCCATCGGTTGGCATTGTTAGTACAGTTTTTTGAATCGACAACAACTTCAACAAACATATACTGTGTTTTATTTGACGCCACCGTACTGTCCAGTAATACGACGCAGACGGTTATGTAATCTGTAATAAAAACAATCAAAAGCACATACTGATAAGTAAATAGTATTCATGCCAAACAAATAAAAAAGTAACATAATTATAATATAAAACAATTGTTTGTTGTTTTATACACCGAGACTACAAAATCCGCTTATAAACTTATAAAAGTTGATATTGTTAGTTTTTACAGAATATCTTTAGTTCGATTGAGTAGGGTAGGAAGCTATCAACTTTTAGGCAAACTCTCGAAGTTATTATTTTAACCAACCAATACTGTGCAATGAGTGTAAAGCTTCTTGCCAGTGGAAACGACGGGGTTTGAATCTACTTTAGATTACTAGGTTGGCGCGTTTACCACTCGTCCATGCTGTTGACGTCGTTATATCAGCAACAGAAGATACAACACTCACGTTATGTAGTGTTTTTAATGTCTTTATGTCCACAAAAATTCTATTTTTCAACCTTTATGACTTTTAAAAATAATTGATAAAATTCAAAGTCCATCATAATATTTATTTTTATTAAATTAGTTTTTGTAATATTCAAATTTGTGTGATGCATTTACACTTTAATTTATTCTTAAATACACTGGTCTTTTAATCGTCTTTTAAAATAAAGGAAATATAATACATGTCATGATTAAAGGTAAAAGAAAACTGTCAAAGACCAAAGACTGTCAATGGTTTTAATTAATGCTTAATACATACATACACAAACAAAAAGTTAAAGATTCAGATAACTTTTGTAAATGTACAAACATGAGGCAACGCAAGATCAGTATTCCCTTTGCTGGGAAATTATATCCTCCATCAGTGTAATATTTTATTTCTTGGTAAAACAAAATAAAATTAATAAATAAAATAAACAAATAAAACAGAATGGAAGGACCATTACTTTGCGAAAAATCAGAAGTATAAAGCCAAGTTTAATGACGGGTTTTCGGGTTTTAAATGTGTGCAAATCATTATAATTTATTGCCTCATTTAGGAGTTATTATCTGGAAATCATAAAGTGGACTGACAGACAGACAGACAGACAGACAAACCGAAAGACAAAAAGACCGTCCGACGAGCTCACACCTAAAATGCCCACTTAACCCCATTTGTGGGGGTATGATAAATATCTTATTTTATATATCTTTCATTTAATATATTATCATACATTTTGTAATGTTTTTCACAGTGAAATCTATTTCTTAATATTTAAATACGTTTATGTATAGTAATTGAATAATGTTTACTTCAAACATGTTACAAATAAACCCATTTCTACTTACAGATAAAATCAATCTAAAATGAATTAATCAAAGTGCATCTTTTAAACTGTGACAGATAAATACAAAAACGGCTCTATATAAAATTAAATACAAGCATATCGATATCCTTAAGTTTTTTTTTTCAATCAAGAGGTTTTGAACTACATTAAGTGAACAAGTTACTACGAAAGACTCGTAGGGACATTATTACGGTACCTCATTAATCCATCAATTAAACTTCACAAATTCACGAAGTGAACTTCATGAATTCTCTTTTTCTACATAATGATAATAAATTCATGAATTCACAATGACAACCAAATTACTTTAAAACTTTAATTCTTCGATTCACCATTTCAACGTCACGAGTTATATATTTGAAGTTTAAGAATACTTGATTTTAACTTTATTGATTTAACTATAAATATACCAGAAAGAAAAAAACAAAGATAAAATTCTTGATATTCATGGAAAACGACTTATAAACCTCTGTAAATCTACAAATATCGTTATAGCAAACGGCAGGTGAAAACATGATAACGGTGTTTGGGAATTTACTTTTATTAATAATACTGCAGCAACGGTAATAGATTATGTTCTAGCGAACTACAATGATTTCGAACATATCTCAAATTTTGAAATTCAATCACCGAATGAATTTTCTGATCACTGCGCTATACACTTTTGCTTAAATTGCATATATTCAATCGAAGCACGTGACCAAATATCGACGCAATGCGAACCAGTCATTTCATGGGATTATTCGCGCGCAAATGAGTTCTATGACAATATGTTGAGTCATTCAACCGAATTAAATCGTATTACTTTAAATTTAAGCGACAATATTGAAACAATTGAATAGGTCACTACAATTATTTACTTTACTATTATGTGAAAATGCGTTTAGTATATTTGGTAAACATAAGTTACCTAAAAGCAAACGGAAAGTCAATTCAAATAAAAATAAATGGTTTAATACCGAATGTCTTCAAGCGCGAAGAGAATTTAATAAATCAAGAAATAAATATTTGCGAAACAGGAAATCTGAAAATAAATTAGAGTGTTAAAGTAAAAAACGTTCATATATACAGATAAAACGTAAACAAAAAATAAAAAACAAACGCTTAGAGGGCAATCGCATTGCAGAGCTCGCTAAAAGTAATCCAAAATCTTTTTGGAGAAACATTAATTTGCAATATTTAAAAATGTCATCTGATCCCGTAAATGTACAGTGTCAAGATTCATTTGAACATCTCAACAAACTATATGGTGAGATAATGAAAACTGTTAGTAAATAGGTTTACTTAACTAAATGAGCCAAAAAGCATGAAAAATTAATAGACAATCAAATGCGGGTTTCAACAGAATAAATCCACTATCGATGGTATTTTTGTACTCTATTCGATTATTGCAAAAACTATATCAAATAAAGAAAATTTGTTCGTTGCTTTTCTCGACTGGGAAAAGATGTTTGATAGAATTGACCGTGTACTACTATGGCAAAAACTTTTGAATGCTAATGTAAGTTCTAAATTTATTGTTGCCTTAAGGTCTATGTATACCTCTGTTAAATCTTCCGTTCGTTATAATAACAATATCAAGTCAACTCCAATAAATTCATACGTTGGAGTTAAACAAGGAGACCCGTCAAGCAGTTTATTGTGTCTATTTTTCCTTAATGATATTTTGGAAAGTACACGGAATAATTTAGACGGAATAATTAATCTTGGTGATATGCAAATATTTCTATTATTGTTCGCAGATGACGCTGCAATTTTTTTCTAAAAACCCTAAAACATTACAATCATTATTAAACGATATAGAAATATACTGTATTATTTATTGTTAATAAAACTAAAATAATGATTTTTGAAAACGGTCGTCACACAAATTATGATTTTTACAAATTTAACACAAAAATCGAAGTTGTCAAATCATTTACATATCTAGGTGTACATCTATTCAAAAACGGACAATGGAATAGAACGCAGGAACGTATAGCACAACATGCGTCTTTCGCTCTTCATAATTTGTTCATTATCTTTAATCAAGTAGATTTGCCCGTTTCACAGCAAATAAAATTGTTTGATTCTCTCGTATCATCAACTTTAAATTACACGACGGAGGTATGGGGATCACACATCGCACCCGCTGTCGAAATTATTCATTGTAAATTTTGTAGAAAATTTTTAGGTACTAAATTAACCACAAACCGAGAAGCGTTATATGGCTAACTTGGTCGAACACCTATGTATATTCAACGGAAAATAATTATGATTAAATATTTGATTAAGTTATTATCGCTTCAAGAAAGTACTATCCTTTTTAAAACATATTCTATGTTAAGAATTGATGCTGACAATGGACAATCTTATAATGGTAAAAATTGGGCTTACACTATAAAACAAATATTAGATGAATCTGGATTAATATTTCTATGGTAAAATCAATATAACATACAGGTAGATTGTAAAGCAATTAAATTCAGAATTCTTAGTTTGTATTACGAAAATTGGTATACCTTGATAAATAATTCACCTCGTCTTGATACATACAGTTTATCTAAACATACTTTTGATTTAGAAAAATACTTCAGTGAAATTAAAGAACCAAAGTATAGAAAAGCCTTATCTAGATTCAGAACATCGTCTCATAATTTAGCTATAGAATATGGAAGATATCGTAATATATCAAGAAAAGAACGTTTTTGTGAAAATTGCCAATTTAATCAAATAGAGAATGAATATCATTTTTTACTTATTTGCCCGAAGTTCTCCGATTTGAGAAAAAAGTATCCTAAACGGTATTACTACACATGGCCGACTAAGAAAAAGTTTATCAATTTAATGTCTGAATCATCGTTAACTGTAATTAATGGTTTAAGCAAATTTATATATCATGCTAACACTTTAAGAAATTAATCCTATCAAATGTGATCTGTATTTTATTCATATGATTGTAAGGCTCCTCTGAAAAAAAATCCATGTACTTGTGTTGTTTGTGTTTATATATTTTGTACTTGCTATAAACATGTATTTGTTTAATGCAATAAAGTTTTGAAGTTTTGAAGTTGAAGATTTAACTTCACGCTCAAAGGTTTTGAACTTCCTGATTTAAATGACATTAATTGACTATTTCAACTTCATGAATTCATAAATTTTTCTTCACCAATTCAACTTTGTGAATGTACGATTTCATCTTCATGAATTTGTGGAATTGAAATCGTGAATTTATGAAGCTGTTATAACGATAAGCGAAATTGTAAATTTGTTAAGTTTATTGGTGTTAAAATGTCAGAAAGAGGTCTTCGTAGGTTAGTGTCAATTTTGATAAAAGTTTTACAAATGCTCAAACTTTTTAAGTTATATGTACATAAATCTTGTAAAAATATATTATTTATTTTCAATCAACCTCAAAAATCAAAGTTTTTTTTTGTTGTTTTTGTTTTTGTTGGGTTTTACATAGCACCATCACAGTATATGTCATATGGCGTTTTTCAAGCTTTACTGGTGGAGGAAGACCTCAGGTGTTATCAAGTGCAATAATTCAGGCACGGATGGGCACCTAAATAGGGCTACCGTCGTTCCCTATATCTTCCTCAAATGGAAGAATCCCAAATATCTGTCGGGATTCGAACAAATACCTGTAATGGGCAAATGGCAACCCATGTGTAATATGTAAATTTTTGCAAAATAAATAATGAAGATAAATATTTAAAAAAGTAAATTAATGGAAAGGTGCTCATTTCTTTGTGAAAAATAAATGT